CAAATTTTGTATTGGTGAAAAGTCAAGTTCATGTTATCTTGACTAACTGGATGTAGTTCTATAAACATTTTGTATGTATTCTTTTAAGTTTTTTGCATTTCATTGTTGTAAGTTTAAATTATAAAGAAAACTAATTTGTTTTATCTTTAATAATCATTTTGGTTTATTTGTAAATTAGTACATTTATTACCATTATAATTGATCTTGGTTAACAAATAAGTAAAATTTAAAATTTGTTTGTTGAGTGATATTTCTGTAAATTACTGTCAGCATTTTAATATGTTGATTCCATAATTTAATAAGTTAAAATGTGAAATATATTTGAGATCACACATAAAGAAATAAATAATCTGAAGAATATAAAAAAACATGCATTGATCCAAATATAGTCGTACCATTCCAATTTGTCCTTTGCCAACAAAAAAAAAAACATTTTCGTGAATTCAAAATTGATTTTAAAAATGCCACGTAGAGAATATTAAAAGTTTGTAAAAAAAATAGTTTCAAAATAAGTTTTGTTTCCCAATATGGTGGTCCTAGCCGAACCCTCCTTTACAAATATTTTGAAGCTCTATATTCCCCGCATTTGTTGCCTTCTCCTTTTAAAAACTCAAACATAAAAAATTTTGAACGCCAAAGCTCCAATTCTGAAATGCTGAACTAACAAACTTCAAAGTTGAAAGATGAAAGACAAAAGGGTCCAGTAGCAACATTGGTTCGCATTGCTGTGTCTATTATTTTCTAGTCAGAGAATAAACAGAAAACATAAAGTTGAATTTTCAGATCTCGAAATAGGATTTGCACAAGAAGCTGGGGATTGGTCCCGTTGATGAATGGGTAAAGAAAGTTAGTTGAAATCATCGGAATCCGAGCAAGCAGTGGTGAGTCCAATGCTCTGTTTTCGTTGTATGTCTCGCCCTTTTCACAACCTTTTGTCCTCTTCACTTTTTCTTACCATCCTCTGCTCTCCTGTCTCCATCTCGATTACTGTAATGTAAAGCACGTTACGGCATCTGTCCTGCTGTTCTTCCTTTCATTTGCTTTGCCAATTGCCTCTGCACTAACGGAAACGCGTTTCTTAAAAGCTGTGCGCTGAGGGCGGAGTGATCGGAGAAGATGTTGTGCGCCTGTTCTTCCGGTGGGCAGTTCAAATTCGAAGAGCCGCCGCAGTCGCCGGACTCCCTCGCCACCAGGGATTTCTCCGCCAGCGGACTCTCTTCCAGGAACACCGGGGAATGGGAGCCTAAATTCGATGAAACGCAAGTAGAACAAGCTGAATCTACTCTTAAAGAAGCTCTTTCCTTAAACTATGAGGTTGGTGGTGCCAGATACCCATGCATTTCCATTATTTTTTTTGTCAGTGTTTTTTAGGATACCTCGTGCATGTTTTATTATGCAAATTATTGCATGGTCCGCAACTAACTATGATGATTCAACTATTCTTCTACTTGAGAAGAAGTATTCAACTATTCTTCTACTTGATTCAACTACTTTTTTTGTTTTAGTAAATTGAACAACTCTGGTTCAGATAATGTAGATATTAATTGAGACCATATACAGATGATAGTCCTGAATTATCTAATAATTTGTTCTTATATGGCTAATCGTTTTCGAGTTGATTAAGATTACTATAGGTGGTAAAATTCTCTTTGACTATTTAATGCAACTGTATACTATCGAGTGTTGTTTAAAATAGAACAATCATCTTCAAGTTGATCCACAAGATTTTCTGTTTGTGTGTCCGTGTGAATTTATTTTTGGTTTATATGTGTCATGTGTGTTTTGAATGGATTCCAGGAGGCCAGGGCTTTATTGGGGAGACTTGAATACCAAAGAGGGAATTTCGATGCTGCACTTCAAGTGTTTCAGGGTATAGACATCAAGGGTTTGACCCCGAGAATGATCAAGGCTATTGCTGAAAGAATCAAGCAAAGGAAACCACGTTCTAAGGCAGATATCGTGGGTTCAAATGTGATGTCATTGCACTCTGTTAGCCTGCTTCTTGAGGCAATTTTGCTTAAAGCAAGGTCACTGGAGGAACTTGGGGAATGCATTGGTTGGTAACTAATTTTATATTATATTAGCTTTTTCTTAAGAGTACTTCCAATACCTTCTTTGTTAAATTGTGCAATTTAATTTTGCATATGAGATCATGAGCGTTGCTCTATTTGAATTAACTTCATTATTAAGGATGAGAGGTTTGGGGTGTCAAATCCGTTGAGTTTAGTGCTTTATTAATTTGGCAGAGGCTGCAAAGGAGTGCAGAATAATTCTTGATACAGTTGAATCTGCCCTTCCGAATGGAATGCCTGAGGGTATTGGAGAAGATTGTAAGTTGCAAGAGATGTTTCATAAAGCATTGGAATTACTTCCAAGGCTTTGGATCAAAGCAGGATTTCTGGATGAAGCTGTAGCTGCATATCGTCGTGCTCTGGTCAAGCCATGGAGTTTGGATCCACAAAGGTTGGCTTCTGTAGAAAAGGATTTAGCTACGATACTACTCTATGGAGGTGTAGAAGTTAGCTTATCCTCTCAGCAGCAGGTGTGGGGTAAAACAACTCCTACCAACAGTGTTGAAGAAGCGATACATTTGCTAGTAATACTCATGAGCAAGGTGGCAATTGGGGAAATAGACTGGGATGCTGAAATAATGGATCATCTTACTTTTGCACTTTCAGTCACTGGCATGTTTGAGTTACTTGCGGATCATGTAGAGCAGATCCTTCCAGGTATCTATAGTCGGGCTGAGAGGTGGTACTTTCTTGCTCTGTGTTTTAGTGCAGCAGGACATGATGAGGTGGCATTGAACCTTTTAAGGAAGGCTTGCGGCAGTTCTGAAGCAAACCATAGACCCCATTTTCCTTCATTTTTGCTTGGAGCAAAACTCTGTTCCCTAGATCCTCGCCATGCTCATGAAGGCATTAACTTCTCACGTAAAGTTATTGAGCTAGCTAAGCATCAAAATAAGCATTTTCTGAGTCAAGGCCATAAATTTCTTGGAATCTGCTATGGTGCTGCAGCTAGAATTTCTGTACTCGATTCTGAAAGAAGTATATTTCAAAGAGAGTCTTTGGACTCTCTAAACTGTGCTGCCGTAAATGGAAATGATGACTTGGAAGCAATATTCAACCTTGGATTGGAAAATGCAATTCAAAGGAATCTGGATGCAGCTTACAACAACATAATGACGTTCTCAGACATGAGTGCTGGCAGTTCGAGAGGTTGGCAGCTGTTAGCACTTATAGTATCTGCACTGCAGCGGTTTAAGGATGCAGAAACTATAGTTGATTTTGCTTTAGATGAGGCTGGGGGGATGGATCAACTTGATCTTCTGAGATTGAAAGCTGTACTTCAAATTTCTCAACAGCAACCCAGGCAAGCAATAGAGACATTTCGAATCTTGCTTGCGTTAATTCAAGCAAAAAAGGAGTTTTGGCTTCAAGAAAACAACATTGATCGAGAACAAGCATTCAGGCATGAGGTGTGTACTAGTATATTCAAAGGAAGAACTCTAACATACCTTGTACAGGCTGGTGTTAAAGTTGATTCAAAAGAAAAAATACCTTGTCTACTGAAAACTGCTAGAACAACTATGGTTATTCCTAGACTTTGTTTAACACTAATTCTCTTAATGGCCTAGGTTGTCTGTTAAAGAAACTCCTCCCATCCTTCACCCTTCCTAAAACTATATGCTAGATGTCCAAATATTATCTATGCCTAGATTGGAACAACGGGAATTAAACTATTAGGTGCAAAAATATTAGTTTCATCTCTGAAATCTTGAGAAGAATTCCCCTTCTAACTTTTTCATTCCTCTCAACAGGCATTAACAGAAAAGAAGTTGGAAATGGAAGCCTGGCAGGATTTGGCTACAATTTATACAGATATCGGTTGCTTGCTTGATGCAAAAACTTGTGTTGACAAGGCCCAATTGATAGAGTTTTTTTCTCCAAGAAGTTGGCATATAGCAGGTAAGGAACCTGTCTATTTAAGTTTTTATGGTTGAACTCATGTCTGCATTGAGTGTTTGTGCTCATGGTAACCTAATATGAAATTCCCGGTGTATAATTGCAGGGGTGGTGCTTGAAGCTCAATCATTATACAGAGAAGCATTTGTTTCCTTTTCAATATCATTGGCAGTAGAACCAGATTACATTCCCAGTATCATTTCTACCGCAGAATTATTGATGAAACTTGGTATGCAATCACTTCCAATTGCAAGAAGTTTTTTAATGAATGCTTTACGATTAGAACCTACAAACCACGATGTTTGGTTCAACCTTGGCTTGGTTTCAAAAATGGAAGGTTCATTACAGCAAGCAGCAGAGTTCTTTCAAGCTGCTTATGAGCTGAAGCTTTCTGCTCCAGTGCAAAAATTTAAGTAATCAAGGGAAAGTGAGCTTGCATAAGAATGACAGAAAACATGCGAGCAGCAACTAACTGAGAAAAATACTCATCCCACATTTATCATTGCTTGGATGTTGATTTGTTGAAAATGTATAGCTAAATCTAGCTACTTATCAATAAATTTTCTTTCTGTTAAAATCTGTCTTTGTTTCGTAAGTAGAATTAACCGTGGGTAGAAATGGTGAAACGTCATATAGTCCTGTCAAATAATGACATGAACTAGATAGTCAAGGCTCTCGTAATAATTTTTGTCCTTTTGGCCCACAGTTTCTGTACTGTGGAAGAAAATGACCTATTTACATGGAATCCTGTCAAATAGTGACACGAACTAGATAGTCAAGGTTTTTATAATTGTGTGCTCGATTCTTACTTTTGTCTTTTCTCGTACATAGATTCTGTACCGTGAAAGAAAATTACCTATTGTTCGTCACTATTTCTAACTGTTATTGTGAAGCAAAAAAAGAAAATGAACAAAAAAGACAAGCAAGCTTCACGTTACGACTTCAACCATCGATCTAACATCCCATCATTAATTTTATGTCAGCAGCCAACATTTTCAATAAAACGTTCCTTTCTTCAATTCTCCCATAAATGAAACACCAAGAATTGGGAAATGAGTATTGAGCTGTTCTACGCATCAATAATCAAATTGATCCATGCATTTGATAGAAAGGCTTCATCGCAAAGTCATCTTAAACCCAAAATGTAGTCCCCTGCTTACACGGTTGACTGCAAGATGAGATGCTCAAATTTCTCACTTTTTCTTCCTACAATTTATAATACGTGCCAGGGTGGCCGGACCTGGGATGGCTTGTACTGAATGTATTGTTATTACAAATCTTTCTCTGTATACAGAAGCCACTGAAGAGCATTTTTATATTGAGAAATTGGAGGAGAGTTATAAGGCACAGAAGGAGATGTGACTGAAGTAAGCAGAGAAGGATATTGGACAGAAGGAGTTGAAATAGAATTGGCTGTATGAGGGATATTCGGTGTAGTGGTTTAGGATCAAAAGCAGAGTCGGAAGAAACAAGAATAGAGAGTTGTTAGATTATCATATTAAAAACTTTAGTAATGTCTGGTAAGGGTTCAAGCAACAATATGAGATCTCACTTAATTAAGCCTTTAAGAAAAAAATCATATGATCTTATTTCTTATGTTTTTAAGCATAGGCAACAACACTATAAGAACATGTAAGGTCAGAGTACCTTGGTACAACTTGTACAACTCTTCTTGTAAATCCACAATTCTGAAAATATCTCTATGATGGAATCGGTGAAGATCTTCCTAAATATTGAAAGCACTCTCGATCCAGATAATAGATTTAAGAATAGATTCATCATGCATTGATTATTGAGTCATGTGAGAATCATCTTATTGCACGGTCTCATGACTCACGAAGGGGGGGTTATTTGGCAGAGGTTCTTGCAATGTTCCATCGATCAATTTCAACTTGTTTTTGGATTTAAGCGCCAGTTTCATAGTCCAAGTCCAATTCTTGCCATCTAATGGAGGAGAAACAAGAACAAGGGCCGGATTTTCATTGAAATGAAGAAAGAAATGGTTTGAAGGATTTGTGTGGAAATCAATATATGCTTTGATCAACATATCATTTGAAGAAAGAATTAAGAAAGAGAAAGAAGAATCGAATCATATGATACCATCTTAGTTCTTAGATTTTGAAAGAACTCTCATTGTATTGAAGCTGAGATAAGCGTCTTGCAGAAAGAGAAAAGAAAACAGAGCTTATATAAAACTCTGTATAACATAAAAAACCGATAAAAGAAAACAATGTGTAACTGCTATAACTATAACATTAAGAAAAACTATCTAGTAATAATATTAATGACATATATGGCACGTATTTCACCAACTGTAGAATCACGAAACAAGTTCAAGTTCTTCTTAGCACCCCTTCCCAAAATAAAAGCAAATACAGAATAGCAGATAACATAAAGTGGTTGATGCGTTCAATTTTTGCGGAAGGAAAATGGAGTTTTTTCAATACCAACAAATGGAATAAAATCACCAAGCTACATCCTTGTTTCCTTTACATCACGAATTCTTTCCAATCAAACATAATATTTCCTGATCTGGGAAACAACAAATTTGACCGATGGTACAGTTGTGTAGTAAAGACCGGTTCTTCATCTCCGGAACAAGGAAAGCTGACAGTGCAGAGGATTCGTCTGGACCTATACTTATTAATACTGCAAAATAAGAAAAGGAAAGCCAACGAGACAAGTCATTTCCAAATTCTGAATTGGAAGAAGATACTTTCATTTTCCACAGAAAATAATAAATTTCTACTGCTAACTGATAATTCATTCAGCTTGCAACATAGTAGGAAAAACATCTTTTTGTTACGCCCTCGTTTGGATTTTGTTAACTTTATTTCATGTAGTGCAGACACGCAGCATTTTGATGATACCGTATATGCTTCTCTAGACATAATTCATGAAAGATCTTTAATTTGGCTACCATTTTATCCAATGCAAACTTGATCATACACTAAACTTGGTTTATGCAAATCTTGTTTACAACAGAAACAAAAGTTATAAAAAGGGAAACCTAGAGCTAAACTTCATCATATAGATGCTTCACCTTACATTTAATAAACAGTTGGCCTATCCCTCAACCCATCTGCCACTGCGTCAACGGATGAAAAGCCAAAACATATATATTATCAGTGCCATAAAAATATTGATAGCCAAACGGCAAGAGCAACAAGGCAGCAAATCAAGGGAAGATAAGTTATTGATGAAAAAATTCACCAAAAATCAAGTGGCCTCTCTAATCCTTTACTTCGCCATTGTTGGAGTTTTCAGCTTCCTTTTCCGTCTCCGCCGCTTCTTCCACTTCCGCTTCCGCCGCTTCCTTTGCCTCTCCCGGTTGTTCTTGCCTGCAATGACAATCAACACCTAAAAATCAGTCCACATGAATATACCCATACATCATCTTCATGACAATGAAGGTTCCATACATTCATTTTAATCCAAGATCGTTTTCATCAAATATTACAAAACACGCACGCATGTGTATGTTTATGAGACACAAGCAATTAACGTAAAGCAGAAGTTGCAGGAATAAGCAGCAAAGAAGACATAGATTGAAGATGCATGGATGCATGGATGCATGCATGCATGATGATGAGGAAGAAGAAGAAGATATACTTTTTCTGGGCAGCTTCAGCAGCTCTTGCACGTGCTTCTTCCGAGGCCAACCTTTCTTCTTCCTTGGTCATCCGCTTGTTGCCCCCATCGAAGCAACCAAAGCACAAGCCCATGGTTTCGTGCCTCTCCCCCTCCCCTCTCCTACCCTATTATGCTTTTTTTTTCCTCTCTTTTTCTTCCTTTCTCTTCCTTCCCTTCTTCCCTATACGCCTCTACAATCTCTATTTCTCTTTCCTTCATCATCACTAACATATTCTATATTAATATTTCTATTAACAATTTTTTACAACTGAATGCCTACCAATTCCGTTACACCCTTCCACCTTTAATCATTACTTTACTCTATAAAACATTATTTCATATCACATTTCTTTTAATATCTATTTTTTCTACATTTTAATACAATTATTCTTCTTAGGATAACCATATATAACAGCCTGTTCTTCAACACTCTTCACTAAAAATAATAAAACAAAAAAACAAAATTTAGGTCTAACAACACTCACTTTCAAACCTATTTCAATTTGTTAATTTAAGTTTGTCTAAAAATAACTTATCGTATAGATCCGTGGATGTACAAAAATTACTCATCAATTACATGGATCAAATCGTATCGTTGAGTTGTATTAATCCAGATTTTCAATATTTTTTTTCCTGAAATACAGACGAAATACTTTATGAAACTTTATAATTTGGTGTTCATACCTAACTTATCGTGGATGTGTGGATTTTTTTTTATACTCTACTTAATTTTCTCTTTTCTATTTAATGTAGTTAAATCTCTTATATGATTCGTTGACCCCAATCTATTTCTTAAAGAAATTCGAACATTGCTAATTATATTATATGATGTGGTGTTAGGGTTTCACAAAGCTTCTAGATTCATGGAAGAGAGAGTTGTTGAATTGGGGATATTAAAAGTAAGTAAACACTATTTTGTTGAATTCTCTTAATTAGTATATAAGATCATTTAAGTTGCAAATATATGTTTAACTTTATATTTATAAATATATAATTTAAATGAATACTTCCTTATATTTACTAAAATAATGCAATAAAATATTTATTATTAACTCTTAAATCATATAATTATTTAGGAAAGTTAAATTAAATAGTCCATTTGATTGATAAATGTTACTCTAAAAGATAGAAAAAAAGGGTTTAAATTTGACATTGTAGTGAAAGAATCTTTGGGTTAATCCAAGTAACATAACAAATACAATACGTTAATTTAGTAAAGGACATTAAAAAAATATAAAAAGCTACTAAAAGAAAATAAAATACACACCATGTATTGGAACGGCATTGGGTTCTAAAATTTCTTGCAATTTTTTCGTTTGAGTTCTTATTTATCTTATGAGATACATAACAAAATATTTTTAATATTTTTAGAAGCATACTTGTATGATTATTAATCTATTATACAGATGACTCAAAATAAACATTTTTTTCAAATATTTCAAACTAACTTGGTGTGATAGAGTTAGTGACCAGTTAAGAAAAAGAAAGGGCTCGCTCGTGGTGACCACACTGGCCTAAACTATGCACAGACATATAAGGTCGTGGTCTATTCAATCTTAAATTTCTACTCCATTTTTTTATTGTTATAAAAATTTTCATAGTATTGGCTATAAATCCTATGATTAGTAATGTATCGAGAAAAAAAATTATGATGATAGAACAAATTATTCAATTAAAAAAATAATTAATGAACCAAGTTTATGGTGAATTTTTAAAAATTCAACATAATAATGTACTGTTATTATTAATAACTTTTTAAGTTTTCTTGATTGTTTCTTTATTAAAAAAAAATACACAATATTCATGAAATATTGAAAGGAATAAAGCATGGAAAATAAAGTTAAGGGTTGACAGAGAAAAAACTTACTTCCTGTTTAACATCTTTGAAGGTTCTTTTACATAAATCAATGAAAACAACATTTTCGTAATTTCAATAAAATTCTATGGATAGCTTTATTGTTAATTAATTATTAAAGATGATGTAAATGATAAAACTACTAATGAATGTTGGTGTGATGCATTAAAGACAGTTATATAAAAGGATACTAAGGAAAATAATGAATATAGTATACCTTACTACCAAAATTTAAAAAAAACTCATGCCTTATATTAAGACTTAAGGATAATTAGTTCATATAGGTAATTATTAAAACACTTGTGGA